ATTGTGCCGTTGGAATAACCAAAATAACTGTTAGAAAAAGTGTAAAATAATAATATAAATTGTGAAAAAAAGTAAAAATGTTAAAAACCTCGTGGGCCTATTCCCTGAAGCGGGATGACCTTATCATGTACCTAGGTCAATTCAAGCTAGAAGTAACCGGTACTGTCGATGACCTAAGAAAACGCTGGGCTAAATTTCTTGGTGGTGAACACGAAAACAGTGAACTCACACGACTACTGGAACTCCAGGCTAAACATGAAACTATCACCCTGCTACCAACAATAACAACACCCTTAGGTGTCAGTCCTAATGGAAAATCCCCAGTGAAGATTGAACCATCTATTGCAAACAAAAATCCTGAACCACCTAATACCGTATCTCGAGTTAATATAATTGACCAAGTAAGAAGATGGGGAATAACCTACAGTGGTACAAAAAATCCATTAGAATTCCTCTAACGCATCGAAGAGCTTTCCATGATGTATAGTATCTCTCTGAGCGATTTACCTCCAGTAATGCCTGAATTTCTGAAAGAACGAGCATTAATATGGTATAGAAACAACAACAAGAAGTGGACCATATGGGAAAAATCTAAATCTGATTTCTGTAAATTTTTTCTGCCACCAAGGTATTATGAAAAACTAGATGAAGAAATCCAGAGGCGTAAACAAGGTGATAAAGAGTCTTTCAAAGATTATGTCCTATCCATACAGGATCTAATCCGACATTCCAGTCTAAATCAAGAACAAAAATTAGAACGCATCTACCGAAATTCTCATCCCGATTACCTTTGGTACATCCGACGGAAAGATTTCACTTCTTTAAATGAATTGACCACATTAGCCGAGGATCTGGAAAGTATTCGAAACGAAATGAATCAACCTCCAGAAAACTCAAACTTGCCTCCAGAGCCATCATCATCCCACCGACAAAGAAATGTGTGTATAACGTGCGGAATAGAAGGACACCAGTCTAATAGATGTCCAAATAACGCTCGAAATACGGGAAACTCCTTCGGAGGACGACAGAACTGAGTATCGCCGCCCCTCCAAAGAATTATTCCTCAGAAAACGGAACTTCTCTCCAGTACGAAGAAAATAGAATAAGTGCAACAATTTTATTAAATAATAAAACGCAGACTGCCACCATCGATACCGGAGCGTCACGGAATTTCATTAGACAAAACATTGTCAGTAAATTTGAAGTAGTTCCTGTAAGGACCCAGAACAGCCTTGAAGTGATCCTGGCTGATGGTTCAAGGAAACTAGTTAACAGTGAAGTAGAATATGATGTAACAATAAACAACATTACCAAACGTTGTCATTTTTTCATCATGCCCGATTGCAGCGAAGATATGATCCTGGGTCTGGACTTTCTACGAAGTTTCAACGCCACTTTAAATTGTGCAGGGCTTTCTACATGTTGCGACCCAAGAAGTCAAAACAAAGCTCCATCTTACCACGCTTCAGTCATTTCTTCCACAGAACCAGCACCTGAAGCACAACCATGTCTAATGGAACAAACTCCGCAAGTAAATACTGGATATCGAACCATCCCCGAACATAGTCCTACAGAACAGAGGTTAATTCAATACTTCCTGGAGACAGAACTGCCAAAATTCAACCAAATCACAAAATTATCATGAAAGATGATCACCCCATTAAGCAAGAAAGAAAAACGGATCCTGGAGAATGTGTATGGATTTCTGTCAGCTTAATGCCAGGTCAGTACCCGATGGATACCCTTTACCTAGAATAGATACAATTTTGAATAGATTACGCAACGCTACTTACGTAACCAGCCTAGACCTCAAAGACGGTTACTGGCAAATCCCAATGGAGGAAAGTAGTAAGAAATATACAGCCTTCGCGGTTACGGGTCGCGGTCTGTATCAATGGCGGGTAATGTCGTTCGGTCTCCATTCCGCCCCAGCTACCTTTCAGAGGGCCCTGGATAGCGTCATCGGAGCAGATATGGAGCCACATGCATTCGCATATTTGGATGATATCATCGTAATAGGCAGAACCTTAGAAGAACATTTGGCTAATCTAAAAGAAGCTTTCCACCGTCTTCGAAGTGCCAACCTAAGAATAAATGCTGAAAAATGGGAATTCTTTAAAAAAGAAACCAAGTATCTTGGACATATAGTAGGCGCCGGAGGAATAAAAACAGATCCTGACAAAATAGCCGCAATCCAGGAAATGCAACCTCCACAAAACGTGAAAGAATTGAGACGATTTTTGGGAGTCGCCTCATGGTATCGACGGTTTGTACCCAATTTTGCTAGGATCTCCCAACCTTTGACTAGATTGCTTAAAAAGGGAAAACATTGGCTGTGGAAAACAGATCAACAAGCTGCATTTGAGTCCCTAAAGAAACACCTTACTCAAGCCCCAGTCTTAGCCTGTCCAGATTTTAATAAAACTTTCACATTGCAAACTGATGCTAGCGATTATGGCCTCGGAGCTGTCTTAACTCAGGAGTTAGATGGAACAGAACGAGTTATCGCTTATGCCAGCCGACATCTAAATCGAGCAGAACAAAACTACTCCACCACCGAAAAAGAATGCTTAGCAGTCATATGGGGAGTCCGTAAAATGAGACCCTATCTGGAAGGCTACCAATTTGTAATAATCACAGACCACCTCTCTCTCAAATGGTTAGATTCCATCGATAACCCTACAGGACGTCTAGGACGATGGGCCTTAGAGCTCCAACAATTCAATTACTCAGTAAAGTACCGAAAGGGTAATCAAAACGTGGTTGCAGATGCCTTATCACGCCAACCTCGAGAAACTTTTAACATTGCCCACACCGAACCCACTGATGTAAATTGCACCTGGCTTGAAAAACGTATGAAAGATGTCCAAGAGAATCCAAAAAAATACCCTGAGTACAGTATTGTCAACGGGCAACTCTTTCGTCATTTTCCACGCCTCGTAAACGATGATGATTACAATCCCTGGAAATTATGTGTGGCAAAACCTCTTAGAAACCGAGTACTTGAAGAAAATCATGACATTCCGTCGGCCGGACACCTCGGAATCCGAAAAACCAGCAACCGCGTCGCTGCCCGATATTATTGGCCGGGTATGTTCCGTGATATTAGCCGATATGTCCGAAAATGTAAGTCATGTCAGAAATACAAAGTAAGTCAACAACGTCCAGCAGGTGAAATGTTGACACGTGTGCCTGAAGAACCCTGGCCTACAGTATGTGCCGATTTCGTAGGACCATTGCCCCGTTCAAAACATGGTTGCACGATGCTGTTGGTCTTCTTTGACCAATTTTCAAAATGGAACGAATTAGTTCCCCTAAGAAAGGCTACTGCTGAGGGTCTAGTAAAGGCTTTCAGGGAGCGCATCATTGCCAGATATGGAGTACCAAAAGTTCTCATCACCGACAACGGAACTCAATTTATATCCCGAATCTTTCAGCGATGTTTGAAAGAATATGGCGTCCAACAACAACTCACAGCACCCTATACTCCCCAAGAGAATCCCACTGAGCGCACAAACCGGACAATTAAAACAATGATTGCTCAGTGCTCAGAGCAACAGCACAATAAGTGGGACGAGTTTCTACCAGAAATCATGCTCGCAATAAACTCCAGTGTGTCGGAGTCAACGGGATATTCTCCTGCATTACTTACACAAGGACGAGAACCTCGTCTGCCCAAGGCTCTTTACGATGAAGTAGCTATCGGCACCGGATCCGAGGAACCCTCATCCAGAAGAACGAGTTAAACTACTAAAAGATGTTTTTTCCATCGTTAGACGAAATCTCACTCGTCACTTACACAGCAACGTAATTACTTCGTCGTAGAAATTGGAGACCTAAAATTGGAGATTTAGTAATGCTTAGGCAACATCCGTTATCAAAAGCAATCGACAAATTTGCAGCAAAGCTGGCACCCAAATTTAATGGACCTTATGCCGTCCAAAAATTCATTTTTCCCGTGATAGTAAAATTAAGAGACGGGAGCGGAAAAGACAAAAGAACGGCACATCTCAGCGATTTAAAACCTTTTATAAATTAATTACATTATTATACGTTACACGTCAACCTAATCTCGCACTAAAATGTTCACTCTTTCTTTATCTTTGCTCTAGTGCAGACGTACTTTAAGGAATAAAAAGAAAAAAATATATATGGAGGAAAAATTTGAGAAGTCCCGCCAACGATTTCGTAAGTCTTGGGAGAAGGAAGAGGCCAAGCGTAGACGAACTGTGTTTTTAGCAGATGACGATATACCGTCAACGAGTGGAGGTCGTCGATCGCAACAAACTCACCGACGAGAGATGTAAGGTGTAACAAAAACCAGCCACACGACACGCGGCCGGTACCAGCAAGAAAAATGTGGACGTATGTATGGACCAGTTTTAACCAATCACCAACCAAAAAAACAACCCACGATGTACCCCAGACCAGACCAAGGAAGATTGTACTTTTAAAGATCTCTCGGCCGAATCATCGTCACATGTACCACACGAAGACGAAATCCCACCACCACCTCCGAAATTTGTAGACGACACTCCACCACCACCTCCGAAATTTGTAGACGTCACTCCACCACCACCACCGAAATTTGTAGACGACACTCCACCGACTCCACCAAAATACATTGATGAAAGTCCACTCTCTGAGCTAGAATTCCGTGAACTCCTTAATGTTTTGAGGCTGGGAGAGGACGAAGTAGAGGATATGAAGAGGACATTTTTCGGTGACCAGGATCGAACTCTAGAGAAAAGAGCACCCACACCACCTTCACCATTGCCGCCAAGGTCGCCACCGTCCCTGGACTCAGAGGACGAAACTTACAGACCTCCTACGCCACCCAGGCGTGTTAACTATTGCCAAGTCAACATCAGTAACAACCGTTACAATTATGTTGGATACACGTGCTATGAACGGGTTATGAAAGTACGCCTCCTGCTGCCACCAATACCTCCAAATCAGGTATCTTACCTAACGCTATATTAGATAGGCCACATAATTCGATGGAAAATTTGCCCAACGAAACTGAAAACGTCAACCGGAGTGCTTCGATGACTCCAGTCTTGGCAAGAGATGTAACAACACCAAACAAACAAATTAATGCTTCGGAATTACTGAAGCCAGAACACTTGGAAAACATAGCTCTCTCTGTCAGTTCGACTAGCAACTCTAAATCAAGTTCCAGTTCTAATTCAAGCTCCACTTCAAGCTCCAGTTCAAACTCAACCAGTAGCGTTAGTACCACAATTATCTCTAACATCGAAACAGCCCCAGTGCCAGCTCCAAACCTAGCTACATCTCTACTTCCAGCGTCAACCTCCGAAGAAACAAACTTGAGCCAATCAACAATTTCCTTGGAACGCGATCGTACAGAGGAATGGGTTGCAGCCCAGAACCAAGAGGACACTACCAACGATATTCCTGAAGAAATATACGCAGAAATCGATAAGAGGTTGCAACAACGAAGAAATGGGCAGAAACTGAAATTTATGCGTATAATTAACAATATTCGGTACATAGTGAACATCTTTAAAAGTGGCAACTATAGGATTACTTCCCAAGGAAATTAGAATTTTATATATTATATAATATTAATCATTGAATGATCATTAATTTTTTTATCGTATGAAAGAAAATAAATTTAGTTTTTTTTAAGTTATAAAAAAAAGGAGAAAAAAAGGAGGCAATGTGACGACCAAAAGTCGTGACCTCGTTTTTGGGTCAATATTAATTTAATTTTTAATTAAAATTAATTTAAGAAAATATTTATTTTCTTAATTTATATTTGTTGTCAAAATTTCCTCCCAAATACTTAGTATATTTTAACTTATATTTTAGAATTACTATAGATATAGCAATCCCTTAATGTTAAGTATATTTTGTTATGTTATGACTCTCAGTAAATGTGAATGTTATGGTGAAATGTTAATTTACACCTCCAAGTGGTGTGTATAATCGTCATTCACACAGGCAGATCAAACGATGTACATGTGTGTGTGTGCTTTGTACATTCGATTGGGGTATAAATAGACGATATTTCATAATAATTAGGCAGTCAGCGTAAGGTCGAGCTACTGGTAAGATCTTATTCGGTAAACATATAAGTTTACCAAATAAAGTCAAAGTGGTTGAACTAGCTGATAAATTGAGGGTTCGGAGTTTTAAAACTCTCCTCAGGTTATCAGCTCAGCAACCTCACCTAGGTTCCTCCTCTCTTGGACACGTGTACCCTGCGACACTGGAGAGTATACTCGGTACTGTCCAGTGCTGTTGGGTTTCCGTGTGCAGAGACACCTCTGAGGGTTCGGAGTATAAACTCTCCTCAAAGTTGTCTCCCTCCAACGTTGACACACCAATAAGCTGCACCACACTTGCTCGGTGATATTAAGAGGCGGTTAAACTACTCTCAATCTCTCTTGGTAAATGTGGAGTAGAGACATCACAGAAGGTTCGGAGTTTTAAAACTCTCTTCTGGGGTGTCTTCGAGTGGCGACACTAACGTGTTTTGCAAACACGATTCTGTGTGTGTGTCAGAGTGTTCCCATCCTAAAGGAACGTGAACAATAGAGAGAGAGAGAGAAGTGGCAATACGTCTGTGTCAGAGAGTTATTGATTCTTTAAGAGAAAAAATATTTTTAAGAAGAGTATATCAATAAATATTATAACGTTATTCAAAGAAAAACACCAACAGCATTTGTTATTTTCGATTAAATATAAATTTTGTAACGAACCTTGGAAGCCGAGCAAGCAGCAAGCGGTAAAACGTGTCGTTACAAAGTCCGCCCGTTATTCTCTAAATGTTCACATTAATGTCAAGGATCTTCATGTAGAATAGTTTCTCAGATATACGAATTTTTCTATTTAATTCATATGGGAACTCACGGCCCCCAGATGAAAGTTCGCCCTTTTTTTTCTCCAAAATGTTCATATGTATAATAAAGTTCTTCTTGCAATATTTAAAGAATCTTGTTCTATTAGTTTCATAGATAAGCGAAATTTTGTATTTACTTCATATGTGAGGTGCCAAGCCCCCCATTGAAAGTCCGCCCGTTATTCTCTGAATGTTCACATGAATGTCAAAGTTCTTCAATTAAAATTTGAAGATTCTAGCTCTAATAGTTTCTCAGATATAATAATTTTCATATTTAATTTATATGGGGGCTCCAAGCCCCCCATGACGAAAGTCCGTTTTTTTTTCTCCAAAATGTTCAGATGAATATTTAAGTTCTTAGTGCAAAATTTGAAGAATTTAGTTCTATTAGTTTAGTTCTATTAATATTGTTTCTAGAAAATTTTCAAGATATTTCTTCTTTTGTGAAATATATGACTATTCAGTTGACCTTTTAGAAATTTACAAGATATTTCTACTTTATATAGAGATTTTGAGAAATCTTTGCATTTTTTTAAAATTTGTAACTGAATTTAAGACTGTTCAGTAAATTGCAAGATTTTGTGAAATATTTCACTATTTGGGTGACTTCATAAAAGAAATGAAATAAGTCTCTATTTAGTTGACTTCAGTAAATTACAAGATTTTATGAAATATTTCATTATTTGGTTGACTTTCTAGAAAAAAACGTTGAAAAATTAAAAGATATTGTAAAATATCTCACTATGCAGTTGACTTTTTATAAATTTGCAAGATATTTCTACTTTTTATATAGATTTTGTGAAAAATCTTCGAATTTTTTGTTAATCTGGAAACTGATTGCAATATTGTTTCTAGAACATTTTCAAGATATTTCTACTTTTGTGAAATAAATGACTATTCAGTTGACTTTTTAGAAATTTACAAGATATTTCTACTTTATATAGAGATTTTGAGAAATCGTTGTATTTTTTTTTTAATTTGTAACTAAATTTAAGACTGTTCAGTAAATTGCAAGATATTGTGAAATATTTCACTATTTGGGTGACTTTATAAAAGAAATGAAATAAGTCTCTATTTAGTTGACTTCAGTAAATTTTATTATTCAGTTGACTTTTTAGACATTTTCAAGTTATTTCTACTATGACTATTCAGTTGACTTTTTAAAAATTTGCAAAATATTTCTACTTTTTATAGAGATTTTGAGAATTTTTTTTTTTTTAATTTGGAACTTAATGTAAGACTGTTTCTAGACAGTAAATTGCAAGATTTTGTGAAATATTTAACTATTAGGCTGAATTTATAAAAGAAATGAAATAAGTTGACTTCTGTTAATTGCAAGGCTTTGTGAAATATTTCACTATTTGGTTGAAGTTTTATAAATTTGCAAGATATTTCTACTTTGTGTATATATTTTGTGAAATCTTTCGTTGACTTTTTAGAAATTTTCAAAATAAAAATTTGTTAGTGAAATCTATCACTATTTGGCTGACTTTCTAGAAAAACTAGGACAAAATAAAAAGATTTTGTGAAATATTTCACTATTCAGTTGACTTTTTAGAAAAATGTCCTAAAACTCAACTGTACAGTAAATTACAATACAAGATTTCATTATTCAGTTGACTTTCTAGACATTTTCAAGATATTTCTACTTTTGTGAAATATATGACTATTCAGTTGACTTTTTACAAATTTGCAAGATATTTCTACTTTTTATAGAGATTTTGAGAAATCTTTGCATTTTTTTTAAATTTGTAACTGAATGTAAGGCTGTTTCTAGACTTTTCAGTAAATTGCAAGATTTTGTGAAATATTTCTCTATTTGGATGACTTTATAAAATAAATGAAAAACGTCTATATTTAGTTGGCTTCAGTAAATTGCAAGATTTTGTGAAATATTTCATTATTTGGTTGAGTTTCTAGAAAAAAATCGTTGATTTTGTGAAATATTTCACTATGCAGTTGACTTGTCATAAATTTGCAAGATATTTCTACTTTTTATATAGATTTTGTGAAATCTTTGAATATTTTGTTAAACTGGTAACTGATTGTAATATTGTTTCTAGAACATTTTCAAGATATTTATGTGAAATATATGACTATTCAGTTGACTTTTTAGAAATTTACAAGATATTTCTACTTTATATAGAGATTTTGAGAAATCTTTGCATTTTTTTTTTTAAATTTGTAATTGCTCAAAATTTTGTGAAATATTTCTCTATTTGGATGACTTTATAAAAGAAATCAAAAGAGTCCATAATTAGTTGGCTTCAGTAAATTGCAAGATTTTCATATATTTCACTATTTGGTTGAGTTTCTACAAAAAATCGTTGACAAATTAGAAGATTTTGTGAAATATTTCACTATGCAGTTGACTTTTTATAAATTTGCAAGATATTTCTACTTTTTATATAGATTTTGTGAAATATTTGAATTTTTTGTTAAACTGCTAACTGATTGTAATATTGTTTCTAGAACATTTTCAAGATATTTCTACTCTTGTGAAATATATGACTCTTCAGTTGACTTTTTAGAAATTTACAAGATATTTCTAATTTTTATAGAGATTTCGAGAAATCTTTGCATTTTTTTAAAATTTGTAACTGAACGTAAGACTGCTCTTAGACTGTTCAGTAAATTTCAAGATTTTGTGAAATATTTCACTATTTGGGTGACTTTTTAAAAGAAATAAAATAAGTCTCTATTTAGTTGACTTCAGTAAATTGCACGAATTATGAAATATTTCATTATTTGGTTGACTTTGTAGAAAAAATAGTTTAGAAATTAGAAGATTTTGTGAAATATCCTCTATTTAGTTGACTTTTTAGAAAAATGTCCTAAAACTCAACTGGTCAGTAAATTACAAGATTTCATTATTCAGTTGACTTTTTAGACATTTTCAAGATATTTCTACTTTTGTGAAATATATGACTATTCAGTTGACTTTTTACAAATTTGCAAGATATATCTACTTTTTATAGAGATTTTGAGAAATCTTTGCATTTGTTTTTTTTAAATTTGTAACTGAATGTAAGACAGTTTCTAGACTGTTCAGTAAATTGCAATATTTTGTGAAATATTTCACTATTTGGTTGACTTTCTAGAAAAATCTTTGACAAATTAGAAGATTTTGTGAAATATTTCACTATTCAGTTGACTTTTTATAAATTTGCAAGATATTTATACTTTTTATATAGATTTTGTGAAATCTTTTAATTTTTTGTTAAACTGGTAACGGATTGTAATATTGTTTCTAGAACATTTTCAAGATATTTCTACTTTTGTGAAATATATGACTATTCAGTTGACTTTTTACAAATTTACAAGATATTTTTACTTTATATAGAGATTTTGAGAAATATTTGCATTTATTTTTTTAAATTTGGAACTTACTGTAAGACTGTTCAGTAAATTGCAAGATTTTGTGAAATATTTCACTATTTGGGTGACTTTATAAAAGAAATTAAATAAGTCTCTATTTAGTTGACTTCAGTAAATTTCATTATTCAGTTGACCTTTTAGACATTTTCAAGATATTTCTACTTTTGTGAAATATATGACTATTCAGTTGACTTTTTACAAATTTGCAAAATATTTCTACTTTTTATAGAGATTTTGAGAATTTTTTTTTTAAATTTGAAACT